CACTATGGGAAGTAATGTCAATATTAATGACAAAAATATTATAATTCAATGTTGAAGTTGTCCGTGTCACTCTACTGGGTTGTGATATCACTGGAAAAATATATCAGCTGTACATTTTGTTTAAAAAAATCATGGTTAACAGGTCCTTCTCAAAAAATAGCATATTGTGATAAAGTTCATTATTTTCCATAATGTAATGATGCAAATGTAACTTTAATATATTTTAGATTCATTGCACACCAACTGAAATATTTCAGGTCTTTTATTATTTTAATACTGATGATTTTGGCATTTCAGCTCATGAAAACCCAAAATTCTTATCTCAAAAAATTACCATATTTCATCCGACCAATAAAAGAAGTGTCTTTAATACAAAAAAAAGTCAACCTTCAAATAATTATGTTCAGTTATGCACTAAATACTTGCTCGGGAATCCTTTTGCAGAAATGACTGCTTCAATGCGGCGTTGGCATGGAGGCAATCAGCCTGAGGCACTGCTGAGGTGTTATGGAGGCCCAGGATGCTTCGATAGCAGAACTTAAGCTCATCCAGAGTGTTGGGTCTTGCGTCTCTCAACTTTCTCTTCACAATATCCCACAGATTCTCTATGGGGTTCAGGTCAGGAGATTTATTGAGCCCAGTAATACCATGGTCAGTAAACCATTTACCAGTGGTTTTGGCACTGTGAGCAGGTGCCAGGTCGTGCTGAAAAATGAAATCTTCATCTCCATAAAGCTTTTCAGTAGATGGAAACATGAAGTGCTCCAAAATCTCCTGATAGATAGCTGCGTTGCCCCTGCCCTTGATAAAACACAGTGGACCAACACCAGTACCCCAGACCATCACTGACTGTGGGTACTTGACACTGGACTTCAGGCATTTTGGCATTTCCTTCTCCCGTCTTCCTCCAGACTCTGGCACCTTGATTTCCAAATTACATGCAACCACTGAGCAACAATCCAGTGCTGCTTCTCTGTAGCCCAGATCAGGCGCTTCTGCCACTGTTTCTGGTTCAAAAGTGGCTTGACCTGGGGAATGTGGCACCTGTAGCCCATTTCCTGCACACACCTGTGCACGGTGGCTCTGGATGTTTCTACTCCGGACTCAGTCCACTGCTTCCGCAGGTCCCCCAAGGTCTGGAATCAGTCCTTCTCCACAATCTTCCTCATGGTCCGGTCACCTCTTCTCGTTGTGCAGCATTTTTTTGCCACACTTTTTCCTTCCCACAGACTTCCCACTGAGGTGCCTTGATACAGAACTCTGGGAACAGCCTATTTGTTCAGAAATTTCTTTCTGTGTCTTACCCTCTTGCTTGAGGGTATCAATGATGGCCTTATGGACAGCAGTCAGGTCGGCAGTCTTACCCATGATTGTGGTTTTGAGAAATGAAACAGGCTGGGAGTTTTTAAAAGCCTCAGGAATCTTTTGCAGGTGTTTAGATTTAATTAGTTGATTCTGATGATTAGGTTAATAGCTCGTTTTGAGAACCTTTTCATGACATGCTAATTTTTTGAGATAGGAATTTTGGGTTTTCATGAGCTGTATGCCAATATCATCAGTATTAAAACAAGAAATATTTCAGTTGGTGTGCAATGAATCTAAAATATATGAAAGGAAGGACCTGTACTGTTTGGCCTTGTGGATTCATTAAATCAACATTAACGTCACCACATAACCACATGGTCTTGTTTAACATTGTACAATCTACAAGTTCATGTAGATTTATCTGAGTTTATCTTTAAATACTTCTACATTGAGCCTTGTGCTCTGTACACACAAGCTTATTATTTTTTGTTTTGTTTCCAACCCAATCTCTACTGCCACACATTCTAAAAGACCTTCAATAACCACATACATCCTTTCAACAATCTTATAAGTGTATGTTTCTTTGACACACAATGCCACACCTCCGCCTCCTTGTTTTCCTCCTTGTTTTCCCGGTCTGTCAACGTGTTAAAAATTATATCCATCAATTCCCAAATAATAATCTTTGACCGCATTTCACCAAGTTTCAGAAAAGGCGATAATATCAAACTGACCTATTAATGTATTTAAATAATGTATAATTTTATTAAGGTTTGTATAAAGACTTCTTCAATTAAAATGGACAAGTGAAAACTTGTTGTCTAATTTAACATTAGAGTTGAATTTGTCCTCACTATATTTGCACGGAATTAAATTATGATTGCGCACATGCCTTTCTGAATCCAAATCTACACCCAAATCATATATTCCCCATTTTCTCTCATCTCTAATAGGTTCATTTGTTCAGTCATAAATTGTTAATCAAATGTTCAAACATAAATACACATGAATGAAACTCAATGCACGACAGTTCCATTTTTCTTGATGAACCCGCACCTTTAAAATAAAAACTTGAAGACAGTACCTTGTGCGCGCATTCCCTCCTTGGTTTCATTGTCCTAGCCATAATCTTGCTGCTTATTTTCCAACAATGATGTGACAGTCAGTGATGCGCGGGTCAATGTATAAACAACCCGCAACCGACCGACGTTTTCAACTACCCGCCCGCAACTCGGACCGCAAAAAAAGTAAAAAAAACATTGTACCCGACCCGCTTCCTGACCGCATTTTTTAAAAGTAGTAAATGCTCATCGGAGCGTTATTGGGCCATAGACGTGTAAAAACACAGCATCGCAAGAAGACGTAGGCCTACACATAACAAAGGCAAAGCCAGCACTTTGGTCATCATCTTTCATTATTTCAGCAAATGTCTCCCACACTTTTACTCTTTCTATTTGTGTATTTGCGGAGCTTCCACTCCCCAGTCTTCACCTTTTCTCTTGCCACCCCTATCTCTCTGCAGACTGTAGTGATCGTTGACATGGCCGTTCTTTTGAATCGTTCTTTTGAACCGGTTCTTTTTAGTGAACCGGTCAAACCAGTACACTCGAACTGAATCGTTCGAAACAGTTCGCGTCTTGCGTCAGTGCTGATCCACAAGTTACTAAAGTTACTCACTTTCAGACATGCCTGACAGTCCCTCCAAATCGAAATAAATCAATATCCAGAATTATATTTTACTCCAGTAACTCCAACAGTTCACTGAACCGAGACATGTTGGTGCCACTGTTGAGAGAAGTGATGAACACGAGCAGCTGATACATAGATACTGCGTATACCGAACGCACAGGGACAGCGGTTCTCCAATCACTAGTAAAGAACCGAGAACTGTTTAGACTGAGCTTGTGTGTTATCTTCGTGCCAGTTATTCAGCCAATAATGTGTAGGGCTGTATATTTCATCAAAAAATGTGTCTAGTACTATATACACATGTTTAATTGGCATCTTTTTTCAAACGACCCGACCGACCGCGACCCGAATATCATTAAAAACATTTTTGGATGACCCGTAACTGTGGGTAACCGCAGGTGACCGCAGGCACCCGCTCATTTTGGATCAACCCGCGCATCACTGGTGACAGCGTCTGCAAAATGGCACACGTTTTCCTTCTACGGAGACTAACAGTTTGCCAACCAGCTGCACATAGCATTGACTCCAAGTCTGGTTCCTCCTCAGGTAGATCCATTGTGATGCCGAATTCAGGTAGGCCTCGCACAGCAGCCACTGGGTTTTCAAAGATCTTGGCATTACCGTCTTCACAGAAGATTTTCAATTTGGCAGGGAATAATATGCGGTGTTTGATCTTCCTCTCGCGCAGCACTTTACGCACACCATTGTATTTCCCCCTTTCCTTGTAGACAGCTGGAGTAAAATCTTCGTCAAAGTAGATCCTGTTACCATTCACTTGTACAATTTCCTTCATTCACGCTGCCTTAAGCACACTGTTTTGTGGCAAAACTTTGAAATAACACCATAATAGACCGGGCACGCTCATGTTGCCCAGGCAGCTTTGCCACGGATATCCTTTGCGCGCGCTCAATGCAAAGCTCTACAGTGACGCCAAGTTGTTCCCGTTTCAGATTCAACACAAAATCAATCATATTATTTCCCTCACTTTTCTTGGGCACTGAGTAAATCCTGATGTTATTCCTTCTTGAGCAGCTTTCCAAATCTTCACATTTTTCTTTATGTAAAGTTTGTTGCTGTAACATGTGAATCATTACTCGCATAATGTTCCTCTCATTGTCCTCGCTATCAGACAGCACTAAGCTCAACAGCGTCCATTCTTTAATATCTCCAAGTTCATTTCGTAAATCATTCACTTCTTTCCTCATGCCACAAAGTTCCCCGATGTCTCAGTATGAAATCCTCTTATTTCGTTGAGTATTTCAGCCATACCAAATGCGGCTGCATTGCTTTCCTCAGTCCCACTGTCTGGGTCAATATGTTTGGTTTTACTTTTTGGCTTTGTCATTCTTTTTCAGGTCAAAGCCTTTTCACGAGTTTACATGTCAATGAAATCTGGTGTAACATTATAATGCGTATTTGGCTTGCTGTCCGGGGGGAGGGCTCTGAGCTCAGAATTCGGCCCAACCCCAGAGTACTCCCCCTAACCTTAGAGATCATGGGTATCTATGAGCGGACCCAGCCGAATGTGGGGTGAAGGGGTGGTGGTGGGATGCTGAGAAATTAGTCATGAGACAGGAGGTAAGGGAAGGCTTTATTTATACTGGTATTTATTCTTCTTGTGCTGATTGGACGAATACCTGAACATGCTCCTCCCGAACTTTGTTACATTTAAGGGGATGTTCTTCAAGTGAAAACACCACAATTTTTCCCAAAGAAAACAGTTATAGTCACAGTATTCACTTCAGTTTAAACAGAGTAATTTACCAGCCATATACTCTGGTGGCCATCTTACTCACCCTCAAGCCCTTTAATGGGATGTTCTTAGTGGAAAAAACTTAGTGAATATTGTTTTTTGAGTTGAGTTTTTAAAAGTTTAGTTTAAATGTGTGCTATGAATGAAGTGTGCTCATAAACAGCTGTTGAGAAAATGGAGGCCTGGATCTGGAAACAGTATTCGATATGTCACAACAAGGGGATTGGACCATATTTCATTTGTCTTCTGACAGATGGATCACAGAAGAGTGGGAACATTGTACTAAAACCTGTGGGAGCTTGGGATACCACATCCGCACTGTGCGCTGTGTCCAGTTCCCTCACGAGGGCACTAACCGCTCCATCCACAGCAAATTCTGCAGTGGGGAAAAACCAGAGATCAGGAGGGCATGCAACAGAATACCCTGCCCAGCACAATGGAGGACCGGGGCCTGGTCAGAGGTACTTTTTTCTCAGGTCATATGATGTTTTGAGGCTATCAATACAAAAGCACTAGTTGTCTAAGTTTTTGAAAAGAACCAATCTTCTCCCTTTCCCAAAATGCTCAATTATATTTAGCAAAGCTCAGCAGAAAGAAATGCTTTCTGCAAGCAGTTTTCAGTGTAATTGAGCTTGAAATCAGTGTAAAATCAGTCTTATTTAAGAGCGTGTTTACCTCATCCGAGGAATTTTTTTTTTTTTTTTTTTTTTTTTGGGAGAGTCAAGAAACATCTGGAGAAAAACAATTCTGACTTATTTTCTTTTAGTTTGTACTTTTTACCATGAAGTTAGAATTTTCTTGAAATGGTAGTGTCCAAGTGAGGCCTGACATTTCCAGTGCTTTTTATGTCAATAATTAAAAGTCAACAGAGAAAAAAAAAAAAAATCAACCATAGAGAATGTTTCATGACAGTGACGTTATTACCCAGCTGTGTCAGTTTAAATTGCCAAGTCTGTTGATTATTGTAAATATTATACAAAGAAATCAAGCCTTAGCTAGTGCACTGTCAATAGGTGTAATCCTCTAGTGAACCAGCCTATTGATTTTGAGGATTAACACCAAGCTGTGTCAATGAATATTGTTAATAAGTCATTGAATAGGCTGACCAAACAGGACAAGAAATATGCGGTGTGAAAAAGGCAATTATTTTTTTGTCCTAACCAGCTATTACTGCAAGTATTTTCTGTTTGGGTTTGATTCAATTGGATTTTTTTTTTTTACATTGTGCTTAACTTTGGCGCACCTGCAATACATTCATGTTGGTTCTGTTCTGTTTACCCTGAGGGGGGTTATTGCTGCTCTCATATGGATAAGCTGCTCTTATCCAAGCTAGGCTGCATGGAGTTCTATAACAGAACTATACCACCAACCAGTATAGACATGCTAATTGTCATTCATATTTGATGATAGGGGTCCTGACAAAAAGAGTATTTTCAGTGTTTGAATGGAAAATTATATCAAATGCTGATACAAAATGCAAAATTTGGAGTAAAGAAGATATCATTAGATTTTCAACCTATAAAATCTGAAAAGTACATTAAGGATAAACTTGATAGTACAGACTGCAATATATAACATGAGGATGTGCAATGCAAGAGCCTTTACGTAAACAACTTGTATGCACAGTCATCCAGTCAGTAACACTGACAAAGCATATGTAAAAAAGGTTCAGGGTTATTATCCCAGGGTTCAGGAATCTACTGTATGAAACATCATTTTATGAATGCTAAGTATTAACTGTTAACCCCAGGTAAATTATGAGCAATGTGAAATATAAAGATAACAAAGAATTTATTTTTCCCAGGATTTAAAAAGACCCAGGGTTAACTATTTTAAGTGTGAAAAGTCCTTATGCGAACAGATAAAATTTAATTGTGCTAGTTTAGGACAGTGTTAGATGTTTGAAACCATGTGTATTTTTCTTTGGTTACCATCATCCTCCTTATCTCTCAGTGCTCAGTGTCCTGTGGGGAGGGTGTGATGCGACGTCTGGTCACATGTCGCATTGGAGATCAATGCACCGGCGAGAAGCCTGATTCACACAGACCCTGCAGGCCAGGACCCTGTCACGGTAAGATGACACAGACACATCATTACAAAGTCTGCAACCCAAAGCAGGAAATTTGTTTTAACAGGAAACGCTGCAGCACACAGATGAAAATTTGCGATTTTATGGGGTCTTGAATGGCTAAACTGTTCATGTTGTTCTTTCAACAAATGAAAGCACACAGTATTGAAAGAGAATAGAAAATATTGCACAATGAACAAATTCATCTGCATTGATGACATTATTCATGGTGCCATTAAACACAATGAATTTCCCAGAATGCTTTTGTGGGTTATGAACTTCTCAACTGCTCTCCGGTCAAGCTTGTTTACCCCATCTCAATTGTCTATTGAGAGCTTTTATTTTAGACAAGCATTTTACGTGTGAGAAAGTTTGTAATTAGGCCATGCAATGCCTACAAGCTTAAAGTGATTTTTTTTCACAACCCATGAGTTTGAAATTGTACATTTATCTTTGTGTTTTACACAGCATGTTTGGCTGTTGTGATGTGCACTGCCTACTGTATAGAAAATCACAGTTTCTTAACAAACATAAAAACCTGACAGGTTTTGTCCCTTTGAACTCTAGTGCTGCTCTCAGGATGTGTCCTCCAATCATTTATGAGTAACACTCAGCTGGTCAGCATTATTTGTTTGAACTCAGTGTGTCTTGATAAGAGTTATGACTTAAGCAGCACCTGGATGACATCCATCTCAGTGGAAGGTTAACAAAAATATATACCCTTTCAACTGACATTTGCAGCACACTGCTTACCTTTCAGCTTCATATAATATATAATGCGGGACTCCTAGGGAGTTGTAGACATTTTTTTTTTTCATCTGTGAATAAGCCAGTTGGAGGTTTTTATAGTGTCAATGACAAATTGTCCATAATCCAACTTCAGAAACTGGAATGGCTTTATTATGACTTTTATTAATTAATGGCCTTTTTACTGAGAACCATTTTTTTTGTGTATACTTTTACTTTTGTATTGCATAGGACAGTGAGAGGAGGAATGAACAATACAGTAAAGCTGAGGGGATCACAAAATGACACCCACACAATACATACCCACACCCATGCAGTGCATATACTGTAACTTGCCAAGCCATATCAGACCTCTGAGTTTGATACTGGCTTCAGAATTACATTATCAACAGTTACATCACTAATTATCAAGACTAAATAGATAGTTCCCCCCCCCCCCCCCCTAAAAAAATGACATTCTGTAAGCATAAAAACAGCAACGTATAGATTTGTAAGACAGCAACGTAAGACATATAGTTTTTATTGTATTTTTGGGGGGCATAAAAAATATTTTTTCTTCAGATCTTGTATCAATTATGACAGCTTGGACTGTCTTGATTATGCTGGTCACATGATTTGCTTCAAAGTTTTTTGTGATCAATAGTCAGCCTGACCTAAATCCAACATGGCTGCCTGTGGTGCAGAACATTCAGTTCCCTTTCAAGGAACTTCGAACTGCGTCGAACGCTGTGGGAACGACCCTGCGTTGTGCATCATGAATCAGCCCAATGGAGAGATGGAATGTCATTGGGGCGTGACGTCATTGACCAGGAAACTATAAAGCACCCCCAAAAAACAAGCATATCAGCTTCTGTGCCTTCTGTCATAGTTTATGTGAATCTGTCCCTGTGTGAATATTGTCTGTCTTGCATACTCTGCACCACACAAACAATTTATATATATGTGACCCCGCCTGTGGAACCCCGGCTAAAGTCGCAGAATCTAATTATGAATAAAAGAGCGTCAAAGTAGTCATAGCCATAAAAATGACAAAAATAAGTAATGTGTGTTTATTGCTGTAAATGATAGATTATTACAAGGGTTTTGAGATTCAATACTCAAATTTTAATTTATAACATGATAAATACTAAAATTAATGATTTTATTGACACTACGTTATACTTTTGCGCAGCAAAAAAAAACCGGACGCGGGCTTTAACATTGATTTCAATCGTATCCGGGTTTATTTTTCAGCCCAACAACACTTGCTGATTCCTATCATTCAGTTCAGGAACTTCTTTTTGACTTATTTTCTATTAGAAAGAGTAAACAGACCTTAAAATCAATCCGCACGAGTGGCAATCAGGTCAACACAATGGAAAAAAAGCGACTTCACTTCAGCCGGCCGGTTCAGATCTCAGGAGGTGTTTCCGTGTCATCGCCAAACATTTAACTTAAGAACAGCTTATGTGTTTTGTAGCTCTGTATTCTGCCAATAATATTATTATATTATATTATATTTGTGTCTTATAAGTGTCAATAATATAATTCGTTAGCTGGATTAACTGTTAACTGCGTCGTTTTGACATCTGACATGGCAGCACCGAAGCATGTGCAAGAACGTAAAATGTCTGATTGCTTAAACAGCTTGTTAGATATTAATCTCGGTGGAATTGCCCAAATTATGATTTAAGCGGTTTTATAGCGGATTATTTTCTGGAGGATAATGGTGATGATGAACAGGACACATTCTTTGACGAAACTGAAGAGGAATTTGACGGTAAGTTTTTGTCATTATATTTTTTTTAATGCTGAATATGTAATATACTGTCAGTGCCAATGTAATGCTAACACAGAATAATTCAAACTATGATGCAAACATAGTGGATTTAAATGTTTATTACATTTGTTGGTTGGAATTGAGTCCGTTTAAATTAATTACTTTTATGACATGATGTTTATTTGTTTGATTACACTCTGAATTGAAGCCAGGGCCATGTAGCCATACCTGTTTCTTGTCCCCATGCCCTCCCCTCAATTAATCAGATCCAGTCTAATATTTTCATATAAAATGCTTCATTATTCATTTTAAATGTGGATTTAAAATGGATAAATCCCCCCGCCCCCCATGTTTAGTTCTCCATTTAGGTCTCTTGCTTTGAATTGAAAAAAATATCCTTGTTTTTTCAGGCAGTGACCAACATGATGATGAGGACGAGCCAGTTTTGGTGATTGAACCTCAACCTAATATAGACTGGCGAATCTGAAGAGGGAACACCAACAAGAAGAATTTGCTTCTAATGCTGTAATTCCAGATGTGAAACTGAAAATAAGTTTCTCTTGCAACTGCAAGTATTTCAATGCTGAAAAGTGTGCCAACTGTCTGGTTACCAGCATCCTTTAAAATATCTTATTTTGTGTTAAACAGAAGAAAGAAACTCAAACTGGTTTGGAACAACATGAGGCTGAGTAAATAATGGCAGAATTAAAATTTTTGGGTGAACTATCCCTTGACTTATTTTTTTAATTTTTTTTAAAAACATTTTTTTTACTCCAGATTTACTCAATGTTACACCGTGGCCCAGTAAGAGAATGAGATTTTCTGCCGAAATGTTACATGTTAATTATTTGATATTGATATATTATTGATATTATATTTGCACTGATATTTCATTTTACTAATAAAGTTATACAAATCATTCCACTGAATTGACATGATAATTGTTGCTACAATCAAGCTCTTGTGATGGCCTCATTCGTTTCAATGTTTTTAGCTTTTTGGACATGCACATCATAATAAATAGGCCTGTTTTATAAAACTTTAAGAATTTTCCCCAAAATGTGTCATATATCACTAAAAAAGGGAGAATCTCAGCTTGAATGTGGTATATGGCAAATATGGAGGATAATTATGGATCAAATGTGTTGCAGTTTTAAAAATAAGCTTTTTTTAAAAACGGAATTTCTCCAAATCATGATTTTCTGAGCCCGGAATTTAGTAAATCTTTGACACAGCCTTACTCAGTCAATATTAAAGATATCAAGGTTATATTTTCACAGAATGTTCTTTACATTATGTAGGATGATTGTATGTAGAAAACAGTGAATCACAAAAAAATGACTTTAGCTGGGTTTTCACAGGCAGGGTCACATATATATATATATATATATATATAACTGTAAAGATACTGTATGTATATATATATATATATATAAACTGTAAAGATACTGTATATATACAGTATATATATATATATATATATATATATATATATATATATAATATATATATATATATATATAGTAAACTGTATATATATAAAACACTTTTATTTGCGATGTGTTTGCACGTTGGCTTGATGAATAGACTCTCAGCTGCGGTGATGCGTGTTGCAGTAGCGCCGTCATATCTGACTATAACATGTCATATAGCCTATATAACACGCTCTCACTCGTTTATTTTTTAGCATTTTTGGGAGGAGTAAAATATCGTTTCAACAACCAGATTGCGTTTACACCTAGTAAAGATCCGAACACAATGCGAGCCAGACTACCTCCAGATGGTCAGGCAGATCTGATCACAATCCGATCATAACGTATTTACACCTTGCATTAACATGCCTTTTTTTATTATCCGGATAACTTATCTGGATACAGATCGCATTTTAATACAAGGTGTAAATGGGGTCTCAGAGACGAGACCGGCGAGATGCCTCCACAGGGCGGGGAGATACGTGATTGACAGATTTGACAACAAATGTAAATACGTGGAAATCAGATGACATGATTTCACAACTTTTCATTGGTCATTTAGATAATGTGAAGCATGCTGTATACAGAAATGAACCTGGACATTCTATCCGTCAAAAAATCTCAAAATCTGCAAAATGGATATAAGCGGTTTTCATCGGACAGCGACGATATATATATATATATATATAACAGCAGTTTAAGAAGAAGTGTATTCCTCCCTGCTTGCGCTAACAGGTGGGGATATCAGCAGGCGCTGCCTTATCCCTCCCTTCACCTGTGAGATTCAGTGCCTCAGTCCCAGGTTCGGAAGCACACACTGCAGTTTCTTCCGCTCGGGCTGAGGCACCAGTACTGCAACTATTCAGTTCCGAGGAGCTGGATGTTGTTAGTATTGGGGGAGATGTGGAGGACCTTACACTCCCGAAAGTGAGTGGATGGAGGTTTTGACAAGAACTGTACAGAAGCTCAGCATTGAATGGCCAGTGAATAGACAGGAGTCTGTATTAAAATCTAAGCTGTATGAGAGATTTTTGCCTTCACGTGTGCAACCTCCACACCGATGCCTGCTGGTTGCTGGGCGGGAGCAGCCTTGGCTGTCTACGAGCTCGTAACATAGAGCGCAGCAGAAGCAGAGTGTTGGGTCTTGTGCTCCCCCTGCTGGACAGTGGGCTCAGTCACGGCACTCTCAGCCGAAGTCATCTAGTAATAGAATTGATCTGAGGACAGTTATATTGGCTAAGAAGGCTTCGGCCAAGAAGAAGTCCTGACGCCGAGGTGTTCAGGACACTGAGGGTGGCACCGAGGCGGAAAGATGTTCACTTCTTTTTATGGTGCCCATTCTTCCTCAGTGCCCTCAGGGGCCCATTCTGCCAACCCCGCTTTCATGCCGGGGCACAGACGGTCCGAGTGAGCGCTTTCCCAAGGGACACTTGCTCCCTCTGAGGAGGGTCTTAGAGCAGTTAAACCAGTCGTTCCCTGCTGGTGCGCCATTACAGGGCGCTGTGTTTGCTGCTCAAGTTACACCAAAGGCCAGTCTCGAGAGACCCTTAGTAAAAAAAAATTTGGCAGAGTGGAAAAGCCTTCCAAGAATCTCATTGGGTCCTGCAGACAGTAGAAAAGGGTTATGCCGTCCAATTCAGGTGTCGTCCACCAAAATTCAGAGGGGTTCTGCCCACAGTGGTGGGCCCCGAGCAGGCTCTGGAATGGAACAAGAGGTAAAAACACTCCATCAAAAGGAGACTACAGAACCGGTTCCTCCCAGTTTGGAGTCAGGATATTACAGCCAATATTTCATCAATTCCAAAGAAGGATGGGGGGTTGCATCCAATTTTAGACCTGCGCCTATTGAATTGCTCTGTAGAGAAGCTAAAATTCAAGATGCTCACTATCAAGCAGATCGTTTCACAAATCAGATCTGAGGACTGGTTTGTCACGATAGATCTAAAGGACGCCCCCTTCCACATTTCTATCCTTCCACAACACAGGAAGTTCCTGAGGTTTGCCTTCGGGGGCAAGGCGTACCAGTACAGGGTTCTTCCATTTAGCCTAACTTTATCTCCCCGCACTTTCACAAATGCATGGATGCAGCATTAGTGCCTCTGAGGCTTCAGGGCATTCGTATCCTCAATTACATCAACGAATCGACGATTGGTTGATTTTAGTTCAGACAGAGCAGATGGTGGTTCGGCATCGTCTCATATCAGGAAATTGGGGTTGAGGCTCAATGCAAAGAAAAGTGTAATATCTCCTTCTCAGACGACCACTTTTCTCTGTGTCGTTTGGGATTCGGTTTAGGGGCGGACGTGGTTAAGGCTTTTCTCCATCCTAGTTATGTTCCCATGGTCCCTACTAATATTGTTAGACCTACAGTCCTGCAGGCTTTCTGTCCTCCTCCATTTTCATCGTCAGACCAGGAGAAACTTAATTTACTCTGCCATGTTTGGGCGTTAGACGCTTATGTCCACAAAGCTTCCCTGTGGAGGAAATCAGAACAACTATCTGTGTGTTTTGGGCCACCTAGGAAAGGGTGTCCCGCAACTAAACAAAGAATGAGCAAGTGGGTGGTCGAGGGTGATCTCACTTATGAGTTGGCTGGTCAGCCTTTACCTTTGGCTGTATGAGCCCACTCTACCAGGAGTATCTCGTCCTCTGTGCGCTAGCTCTCACATGACGGTCACTTGGTCCTATGGCGATGTGGGTATTTACATTCCCACAACGTTTGACGCAGCTCAGAGTTCGCTTGAAAGGGAACGACTCGGTTAAGTATGTAACCCTAGTTCCCTGATAGGGAACGAGACGCTGCGTCGTTCCGCCATACTCCTGGCATTCCCGTTAGCGCTCCTTCAGGCCTATCAGAAGCTGATATGCTTCTGATGGTCGATGACGTCACCCCCCATGACGTTCCATCTCTCCATTGGGCTGATTCCATACGTGCTTCATGACGTACAACACAGGGGCGTTGCCACAGCGTTTGACACAGCGTCTCATTCCCTATCAGGGAACAAGGGTTACATATGTAACCGAGATGATATTTAGACATGTAAATATATAAACTTAATTTTCTTCTGACGAAAAAAAAGAATACTGCTAACATTAATTGTGAACATTATCTTAAGGTGCTGAAAGAGAAAAATAAGTAATATGAAGAGTTCAGATGCAAAAGCCTCTAAATGCCATTTGAAACTTTCTTCTTTAATGATGATTTTTATCAAACTTGTATATTTAAGTTCAGTAATTTCACTTAAATGGCAATGATAATTATCTATTAATTGTTATTTAAGTGAAATTACTGAACTTAAATATACAAGTTTGATAAAAATCAACATTAAAGAAGAAAATTTCAAATGGCATTTAGAGGCTTTTGCATCTGAACTCTTCATATGTTGTTCATGTTGTTATTTAGCACGTTTTGAAATGTATGTGTCTCCTGAGACCAATGCCTGTTTCGGGTAAAAAAAAGGGATTAAATAAGCTTTATAAATGCACTATTCAAACTTAAATGATTGTAATTCAAGAATGCTTTGGAATATAATAAAAATGTTAAAATATGAAAAAGTTAAGGAAGTTCAAAACTTACATTGAATCAAATATACTGTACTTAATGTTTATTCTTTTTTATAAAATTTGTATTTTACAAAATATTTTTTTACTATAAAATTACCATAGAATCGAAGCCATATATATAACCAAGTTGTGTTCCAAATTTGAAGTTGATATCACAAAAATTGAAGTTCCTAAGAGATTTTGTTTAGCCATAATACCAAAAATAGCCACCGGTTGACTTACATTCCATTGCATTTAATTGTATGCATTCTGCCAAATTAATAAACCTCTGTCCAAATATCACTTCTGTCACAAAATATGGAACCGTGAGACTTAGACCTTTCTGATAATATGTGTTCTGAGGGGCATCATTCATGTGCACACTTTGGATTTGTTAGTAGAGCAAGTAAGATTGTTTTATATACATTAGCATGAGTTTGAAAATCAATTTTCATTGATTCAGACTCATGCTATCGAGAATATGCCATGAATATTCCCAAAATTGGAACGCTGAATACAACATTACAACGACACCAAACGTGGGAATGCAGCAGTCATTGAGAAGCGAGCAGAGAAAAAGTGAGTTTTTCATGATTTATGAAGATTAGGGCTTAGTGAACTCATTTTTGTGAAAACCTCAAAATCAGCCGAAAAGTACATATTTCACTTTTGAAAGAGTTAATTACCCTCATGCCATAACAAACCTGTATGAATGTATTTCTTCTTTGAAACACATCTGATGACAATTCAATTCAATGTAACAAATGAGGACTTTTTAAATGAGGACTTATTAAATAACAAATGAGGATGCAAAAGCATCATTTTGTGATTTGAACACACTGTGTTCTAAACTTTTTTAAACATTGTGGTCAAAGCTATGAATTGGGTGGAAAACTGACATTAGTCAGTATAGCATGGGCATGGGCAGTGCATTTTACTGTATTGTATGTAAAGAGATCAATCCTGTTGTATATTTAAAAAAAGCTGAAATGTGAAAATCTTCTATGAGAACTGCTTAAAACAGCACTGAATAAAAGCATTTTGCTTCTCTGACAGATGAGTCATGCGGAGGAGACAAGTCCATATTCTGTCAGATGGAGGTTCTGGCTCGTTATTGCTCGATACCAGGTTACAACAAGCTCTGCTGTGAATCCTGCAGTAAGCGAAGTGGTACTTTTTCTCCTCTTCTGCACGAAGCTGCTGAGATGGAAGAGGAACATCGCTTCAGTTCAGCCGCTCAATTTCTGGAGACACTTTCAGCCTCAGCTGTTAATGGAACACTGAAAGGCCCTCACCAGCATCAGCGGGGGTCCTCGTCACAAGGCCAATTTGCCAAGCAAACCACGACTCCTCCGCCTCGCAAACCCTATACCGAGAAAAGCAAGACTCAAAAGCTCCTCAAATCTGGCTCGAGAAATCTGCCTGCAATGGCGATCCATAGCTTGTGGAACGAGAACGCCGGTAATGATGCACCATGGCTGCTGGAAAGTTTCCAAGAGACTCAGTGGCCAACAGCATCATCCGAGGTGGAGAGATGAAGGCTAGTTTGTCTCTTTTTTCTCTCTCTGTCTGGACTCTCTTTCTCTCATTTGTTTGTTGTAGATATAGATCTTTAACATTCATCATTACATTCAGATGATCCTCAAGTTATTTGAAAGCAAGAGAGAGTGAAGTGCTGGTTCACTTTCAAATGTTCTCTCGCCAGCAGTATTTGTTTTTAGAACACACTTGTCAATCACACACTGCTGTGAAGGGGAATGTGCCAAATACTTTTTTTTTATGATCCTCTCAGCAGCCTGGTCTATGAAGGTGAAGAGACTTGTGGTACGCATGAGGAAATGCTTGTAGTTGCATCAAACTTCACACTCTATACAGTTTTATTTTGAACGGCTCCAAACTTGTTTGACCAAATAATATTTATGAACATTCCTGTAAATACTGTATATGAAAAAATATCAGTATTATAAAAAAAAAGAAAAAAAAAAAAGCTGAGGATTTTTAAAATAAGAGATTTAGGACCATTATCGGTGCTTTTAAAGTTAAGAACACTTTATTAGGAAATGTGCTTTTCAGTCATGATTTTTAAGCACTGGAGCATATGTATTCCAAAATGATGTGAGCCACAGGAAAAACCATTAAAACCGCCATAAAATATCAACTTTTGGTTCCAAAAGCATTTCTGTCACTCTTGAATCAGCCTCTCAGAAAGTCATCAATCAAATGAAATTCTCATCAAATAAAGACTTTGTTTTCCTCCAAAATAATTTATTTTCAGCTAAAATGTTTAGTTATAATGTTGAGGCTTCTCTTTGACACATGCCCCTTAGATTTTTCCCATTATGTCATATGCATGTATTCACCTTTTCAGCCAGATTTTTTTTTTAGCCAATGACAATTTTGAGTGCGAACGTCATCAATCAGCTGATATGGGAGACCCAATCATATATATTGTGAAATGAATTGGATGTTTCAGTTGGGATTTTAAAGAAGTAAAGCTGGACTTTCTGAAGATCTTATACTGCACATGATATCTCTTGTTTGAGGGAGAGGAAAGCTATTTATTTTTATTATCGAGGGTTAAATCTCAACCACAATGCATCTGACTGCAATACGAAGGAGACCAGTTAATCTATCAGTGGAGTTCAGCTGTTCATAACCATACACTCACTTTCACCTGTGTGCCACTAAAGCTATTGTATACCATTGAGAACTTTAGGAGTATGCATTGAGATTCAAAGTTCAATATCATGTCTTGTGTTACTCATTATCTGTTACTTAAGGAAACACATGATCCCAATGAGTTGTGAGAGTTGCTCACAAAAGTAAATGCAGAAACAAAAGTAGACATTTTAATAGCTTTTTTTGTTGTTGTTTTAACTGGCATTTTAGATACAATAAGACACATGCTCAGTTTTTGAGATGTTATAATAAGGGAAAGCTGTTTCACAGCCATTTTAGAATAGAAATAATGTACAGGAAATCCTAAACAAAGCTGTCATTTACAGTGATTCATTGTCCATTACTCAAAGTTTCCCCAATCCTGCACGAAACTGTTTTTACAGTTAATTTGTAGCTTTAATAAAAAAAAGGAAAATTATTGTGGATTTTGATCCTCTAGAATAGACAATAGGTGCATTTGCATAAATATAGAACTTCAACGTCTTTGAACTTCATTCAACCAATGAAAGCTGAGGTGAACGTTATGTACATCACAAGAATTATTGTTCATTTACTGCTAATAAAGAATTGGTTTCTGATCAAATCGACTAGCTTTCAGAAACACAAAAGAATGTGAGATAGTTGAAGCTCAATTGACAATCCCTAAGCCACAGACAGACACCCAATACAAAAAGATAAATCATATTTATCCTCACAATTCCATGTCCATTTAGGTATGAATTATTGTCCTGGCTTACAAATACACTTTCAGTTGCTTGCAGTCATTTATTTTTGTTTTAATTTGTACTTTTGTTAGTTGTAATGGAAGTGTACACTACTGAGGCTGTTTTTGTAATGGGGAGCACATAGAAATAAAGAATGAACACAACACTGTCTCTTGAGAGTACTTTTTAGGTTTGCTTTAATGTTTGATTAAATGTGAACTCACATTTTCCCTTTTCCTTTACTAAGCCCGGGAATCGGGAATCACCTGTTATTAAATGTATTTAATAAAGGGTGAAACTAAAGTTACATGGAATGCATGTATATACAAAGACTAAAACATCAAAACACTAACCGAGAATGAAAGCGAAAGAAAAAGGGAGAGAGTGAGATCCTGAAGGAGAGCGACAAATTACAGACTTTAAAGTAAATTCTTACAGTAAATCTTTGAGAGACAATATGTAAAACACAATCTTAATGCTCTGAAAGCTTGATAAACAATACTTGCACAATTGCTCTTTGTGGTACTGCGTCGAGAAAACACTTGTGTGTGTCTGTGTGTGTGTGTGTGTGTGTGTGGCGTTCCGTCGCCACAAAATCTTCTAGTAGCTTTGCTGAGACAAATCTGAATCACCTAATTCCTCAAACACGTTGTTGAAATATTGTGTACCATTGCTTTTATGGACTCTCTATCTGGGCTTCTCCCTTGACTTTATGTCTCCATGTCCCCCCGATTGCCTCCCTCTTGTCTATACGGTAATGTCTCTATTGAGCGACAGAAAGTTGCGTGGTTATGACACAGTTGTTAGCCTATTTTTACAAAAACAGCTTCGGGGCCGTAATGTAAGATACAAAGGAATGGAGCCTTTTATAATTTTTCGTGTTTCTTTAGAAATAAATAATGGACAAACAAAGTCTTTGGACGCCTCGGGTGTAAAGTTATTCGCTGTCAAAGTGACACCAAAATGAATGGCAGTCAATGGAATGCTAACAGCAGGTGAAGTTCTGCTACAACGGCGGCTCCCGTGAGGCTTCAACTTCCGGCTGATGGATTACCCCATTGATGAGTCCACTCTGCGCACTTCAATGAAGGTTTAATGGTCCTTGATGTAAAGTTACCAAAGAAATAAATTAAATAATAATAATAATTAAATTGAAATAATTTAATTTAAGTTCATTCCACTCATGGAGTGGAATGAACAAAGGAAATGAACAAAGTAGAATACGAAAAGGAAAAACAAAATGTTATCAAACAAAACTTAACAAAATAAAACATAAGACTGAAAGGAAAGGACAAACTGGAAATGTCCAACACAGGAAGGGAGAGCCGGAGAAGAGAGAGCAATGCTTGAACATCATCCTTTTTCAAGGCAAATATCTCGAGTCGCACCCCTTTTCAGGCGGAATGACAAATCACACCCGGGAATTTTGCGTAGGATAGGATTCCTTTGTCTCTTCCTGGCCACCTAATTTGCATGTTTTATGGCAGCGTTTAAAGATGTAGTTTCTAACTAGAAAGCTGTTGTGCATAGAATTATACATTTTACTGTAATTTCCTGTAGCTGGTTAATTCAGTGATACTAAGAGGATTGCAACGGTACCAAATAAAACATGAAGAAGAATAGGAAGTACAAAGATACAGCTTAAGGCATAATTACACACACTTGTAGTTAATTTAATAATACGATAAATCATAGGTACCACAACAGGACATGGCCAACATAAAAAACATATAATGAAAAGAGTAATAGTGTGCACATCCCACCTTGGCAGGTGCAGGACAAGTAAAATAAAATGTAATGTCTGCAACACATTTTCTTTATGCTCCAATATTTAATAAAAAGGCAACTTCCACAATGCATGCGCGAGAACAGCGCTCTAACTCTACTACTTCTTGTTCATTCTCACGTCATGTGTCGTGGAAATCTCTTAAACTCTTGTCTCAGGCCTACAAGGAAGAAAAGGGATAGTCGAATAAAGTCGTTATTTTTGTTTGTTTTTTGTTTGTTTTGTTTTTTGCACAAAATGTATTCTCATCACTTGATAAACTTTTATTTGAGCCACTGTTGTCACATGGAATATTTAAACGTTTTCTTTAATGGCTTTCTGGGCCGTCAAGTTTCGATCTCTTAGGCAGCCTATATAGCAGTGATTCACCTCTCAAATTTAACAAAAAAATATCTTCATTTTTGTTCCGAAGACGAACAAAGGTCTTACGGGGTTGGTACAGCATGGGGGTGAGTAATTACTGACTTAATTTTCATTTTTGGGTGAACTAACCCTTTCAGTCTGTCTATTCTTAGTTTGCACCCTTGTTCTTTTCACAAAACTGAATTAACCCTCTGAATGAACTCTTTTGCTGGATTTTTTTTCACATAGCAGCAAAATAGACTTAAAACTTTAAAATAATTTATGGTCATACACAGGGCCTGAAATTAACACCCGACCACCTGCCAAATACGGGTGAATTTTGCTATTGACGGGTAACACTTTTATTCTACCTGCCACATTGGCAGGTAGCCAATGAGAATTGTGAGTGATTCATTAGGATTTTTACATTTCAACGAAGTCCGCTATTGTGTTGGACTTTAGCTATAATGTGGCGGCACATACTGGGGTAAAGAGGCCAGCTGAAACAAACAGCCAACAAAAAGATGAGGATGAGAAAAAGAAAAGTAAAGAAGACATTTTAATACAAAGTGAACAATCGGCGGCAATGGCAAGGTTCATGAGCGGCTGATTTATGACAGCGACTGTTGTTTCGCAACATGTGATCAGAAAGAAGATGAGGCCCTTTTTCTGACTACATTTGGATGTGCGAGTATTACTGTAAAGTAATTTATATTCATTGATTGATTCATGTCTCTTGCTCATATACATAGTTCCCACAGGCAAATTAATGTCACGTGACCTCCCCGGAGACGCCATCTTTGTGTTTACCATAGGTGTTTACAAAGTTTTATCAGAGAATGTCGTTTTACAAACAAATATTTATTTCTGTTTACAATGTAACTCAAATCATGAAGAGATAAAGTTATACACAGGTTCTTTAGGGACATAATCTGAGATTGCAATGCTGGAATGTTGGTGTGTGTGTGTGTGTGAGAGAGAGAGAGAGTCACAGGTGCGATCGAACAGTGGAAACAATGTTGTTTTGTATGTTTTTAATACCTTGTCATTTTGTTCATACAGGACATTATTCAAACTGCAAAGTGTTAACTTATATTTGTTACACTCACAATAAAATACAACATTGTGCTTTTGTCAAACAAATTCTTGTGTGTTTTGAGTGAGTTTCTTTCCTGTTTATCCTTGCCAGCCATAACCTCCGTGGTTGTTTTTACAAAAGCTTAGTCTTCTCACATCCATGGATTCTAATGACGGGTATACTGTAAAATCCCAATTTAACTGAACCTCCTAAACGATTTTAACATCCATTGATCCACACTGAAAAAAAAGATTTTTGCTGCTTGTTCAAATCGCTTAATTAAAATTAGCTTAAGCAACATAATTGCTTTACATTTTGTCCAAACTTAATTTGATTGTGTCCAATCTGCTTAAATATATGTACAATTTAAGTTTACTTAATCCGTTTGTGTTGGATAACATGAATGATTTGTGTTGCATTAACTGAAATTGGGCGGTGCATGTTAATTCCCAGCATGCTTTGCATATGTCTGAATTACGAGAGAATAAATGTTGAAATGAAGTGTTATTTTATATGTTTTTGAGAAAATAAGAAAAGGTTAGTGTGTAATTGTGTTTAATGTTCAAATACATTGGAATTATTAGAACCATTTAAATTACAGTTGGTTACCATTGTGGAGAAGAGTGGACGATTTGGTTAGGCTGTGGACCGATTCAACTATGTTTATAGCAACTGCTTATTGCTGAAGGTGTATGTAGTATTCAGTATGCCACCAAGTACTATTGGTAGCTAACTGCAGGCTATAGACTAGATATTGAGATGTGTGACAAACACATTCAATCTTAATTGTATATATGAATGAAACGAATATATGAATTTGAATACCTGAAACAGCCAATCAGGGAGCCTTTTAAAATCACTTTGAGACTACTTAATTGGATAACTTAAAATGATGTAGTTCCATGACATTGAAGATACATGAATAAATTATGTTTGTGTAACTTAATTGGTTCATGTGGGACCGATGTACACTATCAAATCATGTAAATCCAACAGACTTTTTTTTTCAGTGCAGCAGAAGATGACCATTTTCACTTTTTAGCATGAAACTCATGTTCTGCCCTCAGCAATGGCGCCGTGTTGGCAAATGCCCGTATGTTGTGACGTCATTTGGGAACTATGCATACCAGTCACTAAAATGTAGAATCTTGGCTATGACACTTTAAAAGTAAAAGTACTTTTAATAACGTTAGCAGGCTATCTTTGTGAAAACAGGAAGGTTATCACCACTGTCAATTTCCTTTCCTGTCTCTGAAAGTATTTCTGTATGAGAATCGATAATGGTCACATGATTGGCTTGCTGGAAAGGGATATCGTTGGAGTAAACATATAACAGACCATAATTAATATTTAATTATAATCCGTTCTGATTAAATATTGATATACAATTGAGCTATTTTTTTTTCCCTGTCTGTAAAAAGTGATCTATGTAATTAAATTAAAATCAATTTGTGGTTGAATGCTGAGGTACACATGCAAGCAGATGCAGCTAACACTTCATCCCGTCACAGGAGATTTAATAACGTGTAAGACTGATCTGGTCCAAACCTGTATGAATAATTATTAATTACAAATTCCCCATATCATATCAGGTCAGAATCTTTACAATCTTGACATAATTTCCACAGAAAAGGAAGACATGGCAGGACATATCAACATTTTTAAAATAGCCAACAGTATGTAGTCATCACAGCTCAGCCAAACAAATTGACCTCTGTAAAGCCGCAGTATCCTCCTAATCTCCGTTTATCCTCTTAACCTCCTCCGTATTGCTTTAAAATATAGCGTTCTGTGCAGAACTCAACTGTGTCCGATACATTTTGTGGTGTGGTCTGCGCCGACTTACACATGATCTGTTATGTGCTATCATGTCTTTGTTTCAGAGCAGTGTGCGCACTGTGGTGGTTTGCGTGACATTAACGTTAAACCATACTTCATTGTGCCATTCACCATGTAGA